GAAGGCACAGGATGTGTTGGAACACAAAGGGAATGCTAATGGAAAAGGTCTTAAGGCACACATAAGTCACGGGTTACAAATTGATTGACAGCAGTAAAACAGTTTCACTTTTCAAATTTCTCAATAAAAGCTATGCGCTGACCCAATTCTGGGCTCACTCAGTCTTCTCTGGCTGAGTCCCTTGGTCTCGCTCTTAATCTTACTTTTGTCTCTTGCTCTTATTCAATCTGCGTCGCCCCTTAAGAGAAACCTGTATGCCCTTGCCACGCTGGACGTGACACAGCTCGACCTGGAGCTGGGCTGCCCGTGAGTTGCCGGCGACGGCGTAGGCTGCAGCCCCTGTGGCAGTGGGTTGCCATGGGCTACCGTATGTAGCCAGCAGCCAGCGTGAGCAGCCAGCAGCTGCAGTGAGCGGCCGTCCAGAAGCCAGCGACTGATCTGCCTCGCCGGGGAAGAGCGCAATGATGGTGCCAACTTGGGCCAGTGAAGCAATGTCCTCCACAACTAGACTGAAGAACAAAACGACAGCAACTTGTCTGTTCCCCTTCCCCCAATTCCCCAGAGCTGTTCCCATCCCCCCAATTCCCCAATAAAAATCTTTAAAAAAAAAAAAAAAAATAGGGGGACTGAGTGGATAAGAAAACAAGATGCTTATATATGCTGCCTACAAGAGATTCACTTCAGATGAAAAGACACACACAGACTGAAAGCAAAGGTATGGAAAAAGATATTTCATGGAAATAGAAACAAACAAAAAGCTGGGGTACCAATATTTATACCAGACAAAATAAACTTTAAAACAAAGACTATAACAAGAGACAAAGAAGGACCTAATAATCCTGCCTCTGGGTATTTATCTGAAGAAACCCAAAATGCTACTTTGAAGGGACATGCTCATCCATATGTTTATTGCAGCATTATTTACAGTAGCCAAGATATGAAAGCAACCTGGGTGTCCCTGAATGGATAAATGGATAAAGAAAAGGTGGTACATTTATACAATGGAATATTACTCAGCCATAAAAATGAATGAAATCTTGCCATCTGTGACAACATGGATGGACCTAGAGGGTATTGTGCTCAGTGTAGTAAGTCAGACAGTGAAAGACAAATGTCATATGATTTCACTTGTAAGTGGAATCTAAAGAACAAAATAAACCAACTAAACAGAAACAAACTCATAGATAGAGAACATTTTGATGGTTGCCAGATGGGAGGGGGTTGGGAGTGGGTGAAAACGGGAAGGGATTAACAAGTACAAATTGGTTGTTACACCAGTCATGGGGATGTAGTGTATAGCATAAGGAATATAGTAAATAATATTGGAATAACTATGTGTGATGTCAGATGGGTACTAGATCAGGGTGAAAGATGGGAGGGTGGCTGTGGGCAGTGTGAAGAAGGTGAAGGGATTAAGAAATACAAATTGGTAGTTACAAAATAGTTATGGTGATGTAAAGCATTGAGAATGTAATAAATAATGCAGTAATTTATATATAGTGCCAGGTGGGTACTAGTCAGGGGGATCACTTCCTAAATTATATAAATATCTAACCACTATACTGTACACCTGAAACAAATATTAAAATAATACTGAATGTCAATTGTAATTGAAAAATTAAAAAGGGGGAGAAAAAATAAAGAAGAATAAGAGATTCAAAGTTCCAGGTATAAAACAAATAAGTCTTGGGGATGTAATATACAGTATAGGAAATATAGTCAATAATATTGTGATAGCATGGTACAGTGTCAGATAGTTGCTGGACTTATCATGGTGACCACTTCTTTAGCATAGGGAATTTTATCAATAATGTGGTAATAACTCTGTATAACAGTACCCAGGTGGGTATTGTTGACTAACTATGATGTACAGCTGAAACTAATATAATATTGTATGTTAGCTACATTTTCATAAAAATCTTAAAAAAAAACCCATAAGAGGAGCCAAGACTAAATAGTCCTAGGAAACCAGCCACATCAGAAAGGGTTCCTGCTACTAAGGCCAGATGGCCTTGACCTGTGGTTATTTATACATTAACCCACAGCAGTGGTTCTCAAAGTCCAGTCCCCATACCAGAAGCATGTACATTCAGTATCACCATTAGCTGGTAAATTGTCAGAAACATAAATTATTGGGCCTCTCCTTAGTTACATAGCTAGCAAATGACTGAGTCAGCGATTTCATGTAGGTCTGCTAACCCAAAATAAGCAACTCTTTTGTTAGGTATGGCTGAGTAAATTCCCTTACCTGGGATGGGGGCAGTGACTATTTTTCTTTGTAAATTAGTCTACAATTCCAAAGAGTTTTTCCCCCCAGGTACTCCTACATGATTTGAGATTTGGACATGTATTCCAGCTACACTTCTATAGGATACATTTCTTGGTGAATGGTCTCTTTATGCAGCCCTCCCTCTGCTGAAAAAGCGTCTGGGATAGGAGAGGATTGGGGGGCTGGGGTAGTGCCCAAACTGAGGGATTCAACAGGACCCTCCTCATAGAGGCTAGGTCCTGCAGGGCTCTGCTTTTGTAGTGCTGCTGTACTGAGGGACCCTCTCCAGATCTGCGGGATCAGAGAAGGCCTCTTGGAGGAGAGAACACTTGAGTTGGGTGTATAGCAAGGGCAAACCATGAGGGAGGCCAGAACCTTGGAGATTGGTCCGGACCAACGCCAACTCTGGGGATGTAGTTGGGGAAGGACCTCTGGGGTGACTTTGGACTCACCATGGAATCCTGAGGACCCACTCCCTCTCCCTCTTGTAGCCTTCAGAGCTCTATGTTCAACAGGTGGATCAGAATCACAATGTTCAGTGTGGTTGTAGCAGGACAGTATATGGGGGGTGATGACTGGCTGTTTTTTGGGTACAGGTGGGACTGCTTGGACTTCCAGGGCCACTGAGCTCTCCTCACCCCGCTCCAGATTTCTGCCAAAGGAAGGACACACAAGACAAAGGGTAATTCATATGGAAAGGAAGCAAGGGAGGTAGGGGGGACTGCCCCTCGGGCCACCACCCTTCCCTTGTGCCACCCACCCACTCACTAACAGGAGGGCCAGCCATTTATTTTCTATGACCCTGTCTCCCTTCAGTCGTCCTGAGCATGCATTGGTGACTCCATTTCTGCTTCTCTCACGTCACTGCCACCTCGCATGTTTGTTCCTCTATGCTCTGGTGCCATCTTTCTAAATCCTACATCTAAATCTCTAATATTTACACAGGTCCAAGTCATGCTGTTGGAAAACCCTGCTGTCCTTGTTATGATTATTATTAAAAATTCTTTGGAAACTCCAGAGGAGTTGAGGCTCCTTCTCAAGGCTCCTGTACTGAGAGCTTAGCTCTATCTAGAGAAACTGAAAATTCTAGCCTGAAAACAGTAAGCCTTCCCTCTCTGGTGTGAGGTTGCGGCAGAACCATGAGTGGCAGTAGCCTTTCTCGTCAGCTACACGGCCCTTAGCTGACTTGGAGGCCAAATAGCTGAACTGAAAATCTCATGAGGATTCCTTTTAAGTTTGCCGTGTGTTTACAACAATTGCTAACAGGTCAAGTCAGCTCTTTTCTGACTCAAGGAAACGGAATTGTAAAGATAATGTGTAGCTTGCTGAAGGTTACAAACACAGCTACTAGTGATGGAAAAGTATGAGAATTGTTCTCTTATCTCCCAGGCAAATGATCCTGAAAACATATTCACATGAGGGAAACTCTTATATGAACCTCTAAACCTATAGTCATTCTGGGCTATAGAACAGTTATGGTGGCTCTTCTCTCCAAGATCACGTTGATCTGTGCTCACTAGGGAAATTCATAGATTATTGAATCTCTTTGACCTCCTAAAATCATTGACATCCAACGATTGCATGTATCACTCCCAAGCCTGAGAGAACTGAATCCTAATCCTGAGGTTTAGAAAGGAGGTGAATGGACTGTTCCAGAGAGATTAAATGTAGCATTCACCAACCTCACTGATTAGCAGAAATATTCTAGGGCTTGGACAGAAAAGGTAACAAGTTCTAGATACAGTAGGTTTCATGGGGGGGTGACCTTGGGTGCTGGAGCTGTTAAAGGGAAGGGAAAATGTTCTGGACTATGAACTCCTGGAGGACACAGATTGTTTTAGTCTATGTTTTTCACAGTACAACCTAGCACAGTAGTACAGTTAAGGGATCCACCTGCATTTGTTGACTGCATTCTCACGTAAATGAACTGTTTAGGAGGGATAAGCCAGTGAAGAGAGCAATAACTTTGAGAGGGTTTGAAAGAGAGATGTATTCTCCTTTGCTCTATTCTAAGTATCAGGCATTAAGCTATAGGCTGATTTTAAGGTGGGGATTGAGTGAGGTGAAAAAGATGAAGCTTGCCATAAAGATCCATTAGTTTATATATACTGATGTAGTGTTCATAACAGGTTAGTATTATTTCCATTTTTGTTTAACAGATGATGCAACTAAGGGTCAGAGAGGTTAGGTGTTTTATCTGAGCTCACACAGCGAGCAAGTGCCTGGGCTCGCCTATCTGAGCCTGAAGCCCTCGCTTATGTTTCCTCTCCCCATACTCCAGAATAACATTCCGCAGTCCACTTAACTCCCAGGTTTCAGACTCTGATGGGTCCCAGAGGGATTCCTGCCAGGGAGTTGCCATCCCTTCAAACCCCCACCCGCACCCCCCAATGAATCCTTTTTTCTGCGGAGCGCAGGGCCTGGAGCCAGGTGAGGCCAGAGCCTCCATTTTGGGGGCTTTCTCTAGCCTCTGTCGCTGTGGTTACCTCCAGTAGAATCTGGTTCAGGAAGAGGTTTGTCTTCGCGGACAACGGTGCCACTCATCATTGAAGGAGGGCAGAATCCGGGGCTGGGGGCCGCACGTCGAGAGGGGTGGGGCCAGGGGGCGGCCCCCTTGTGACCAGCCCTGAGGAGAGGTCAGGAGAGAAGGCTGGCTGAGGAGCGCCTGGACAGCAGCAGCTGCTGACGTTCTGAATCACGCGCCTGGGGCCCAAGGTAACCCAGACCTTTAAACAAACAGCGGGGCTGGGGGCGCTGCGGGGCAGGGGCGGGAAGGGGCAGGGACTTCTGGCGTTGAGCGCTGAAAATTTGAGCGTCCAGTGCGTGGAGGGCGTGAGGCGTCCGAATGTTCGGAGGACGCGCAGGGACGGAGGGTGCTGAAGCGCGAGAGGTGTGAGAGGGAACACCGGCGCGAAGGAGCGTGAGAGGGCACGAGAGCGTGGCAGAGTAAAAGGCTGCGCTTGGAGGCAGGGGGAAAGGTTGAACACAGCCAGCCGCAGGAGCACAGGTAAGGTGGGAGCGAGGGGACCTTTTCTTCCCGAGCCCATTTTCCATAGGTGGCCTAGCCATTTTTTGAGGTAAAATGTTGACCCAAGTGTGTTTTAGGATATAAGGAATGAACGTCAGAGGAAGCTGTACCAAAGTGAGGCTGCGCAAGGCCCAGGAAAGGCAGTCAGAGGGTGGCGCCTTTTTTAAAGATTCCATCTCTTTCCACCCTTACAGCTCAGGCCGTACCCCCGCCCCCACCTTTTCCACCCTCCGTCGGCCTGCTTCCCTCCCACCCCGTACCACCCCCCTCGGCCCCGGGCACGAGCCCATCGCCATTAAACCAGGTAACCAACCGCCTCTGTCTCCACACGAGCTCCGGGAGCCTCTGAATAGAGGGGGGTGGAGCTCGCAGCGGCCCGGGCTGAGCTCAAGGGCCGGTGGGAGGGTTCCGGGGGCGATAATGGCCCGCCGCGGCCATGACGCCGGCCAGATTATTCACGGCAATCTCTGTCTCGTTCCGTCTACAGTGGCAGTTCGATTCCAGACGCCTTTCCCCTCAGACCGGGCGGTGAGCTGATGGCCCAGGTTCCAGAAGCTTCCTCGCCCTCTGGCTTTTTGGTCCGTTGGAGCTCGCGAGGTGGGGGAGGAGCCTCGCCTGAGGAGGCGGCGGAGAAGGCGGGGGAAATGGAAGTAGAGGCGGTGGGAACGACGAAGGCTCACGCCGGCCAGGGAGCCGAGGAAATGAAGCTGGAGCCATTACAAGTGCGTCAGCCCGCGCCTGAGGAGAGCCAGCCGTGGAGCGGCGGCGACGGCGACGGGGACGGCGACGGCGACGGGGACGGGGACGGCGACGGGGACGGCGACGAGAAGGTGCTCCCTTCA